AGACAGGGTTTCTCTGTGTAGCTTTGCGCCTTTCCTGGAACTCACTTGGTAGCCCAGGCTGGCCTCGAACTCACAGAGATCTGCCTGCCTCTGCCTTAAAGGCGTGCTCCACCACTGCCAGGCTCTGTGTATTCATTATTAAATCTAGACCTGGAAGTTGTTCCTGTCACATTGAATGGGGACTATTTCCTGGATTCATATGTCAGAATGTCGTCTGGATAGGTCCCTTTCTCCTTGCCTACAGTGTTTCAGATTTGGGATTTGAGAAAAGAATGTGTTCTCCTTCCTATACTGTGAGAGATTGATTAGGGAAAAAATTAAATATATTTTTAGCTGAAGCTGGTTGGCACATGCCTTTAATCTCAGCACTTGGGGAGGGAGACAGAGGTAGGCATATCTCTGTGATTTTGAGGCCAGTCTGGTCTACATAGCAAGTTTCCAGCCAGCCAAGGCTACATAATCAGACCTTGTCTCAAAACAAAACAGAATTATTTTTAATTATGTGTATGGGTGTGTGTCTGTATGTGAGTATGTGCATTTGAGAGCAGAGGCTTTAGATCTGGAGTGGTTGTGAGTGTCCATGCCCCCCCCCCACCAAAAAAACAATATGGGAACAGAACTCTGGTCCTCAGTAAGAGCACTGCTCTGATTTGTAACTGCTGAGCTGTCTTGATATACCCTGGACTAGGAAGTCCAGGTATCTTGTGCATCACACAGAATACCGTGTGTGCATCCTGAGCCGTGGATGCTGCCAGATTCTGTGTGGGAGAAGATTCGTCGTGCAAACCTTCTATCCCTTTCAACGGTGGACAGGGAACCATAAACCGTAATTCTCAAAGCAGCCGCTTCAGCTCTCCTTGCGCCTGTGTGCTAGTGGAAAGCAGTCTTCTCCCCCATAGCCAGGATGTAGCCATAACTACCAGATAACCCCGTGTGGAAGAGTCCGTTGTCTTGGACACCATACCATCTCTGCTTGAGCTAAGCCTGGGGGCGAAGCTGGAGCCAGTGTTTTGGGCTAAAGTGTTTTTCTGACTTGATTTCCGTGTATTGATGAGCCATCTGAACTAGTCCTGGAGCTGGAGGCTCAGTTCCGTGGTCAGCTCACACCTAACACATGCAGGGCCGTGGGTCCCACCCCAGTTGTGAAAAGCCAGGAAGTAGAACGGCCGTGTTCAATGGAAGGACATTGTAAGCCAGGTGCAGTCCATTTGACCTCACCAGTGTGACACTTCCACTTCCAGTGTATACTTCTGACGACCTGAAACCTCAAGTCAGAGTTCACCTTCATCAGAAACAACTGATCTGCATTTACATGTCATGAAATTACAGTAAAAAAACAGACCATGTATTCATTATTCCTAATTGCTTTAAAGTTTTTCAATATGAAGACAGTTGCCCAAGATAGTTTTTCTTAAAATTTGCACTGCCTTCATAAAACTGTTCTCTTTTCTTTTTAAAGATTTGATTTGAGCTCAAAGCTAAATGAAATGCAAACTCCTACCAATCAATAAATTTAATATTTAATGGGAAGATAGTTTGCATTGCTTTCATTTTTTAATTTAAACGTGAATCAATTAAAAAGTAAATGAAATTTAAAAGTGATCATCTTGATCCCACAAGCCGTATATATTTTAAAAGATTGACTTATTTTTATTTTGTGTGTATGGCTGTTTTGTATATATACCATGTGCATGCCGTGCCCATGGAGACCAGAAGAGGGCATCAGATCTTCGGGAACTGGAATTGCGGATGGTTTGTTAGCCACTACCGTGTGGGTGCTGGGAACTGAACCTAGGTTTCCTGGAAGAGCAGCCAGTGCTCTTAACCACTAAGCCATCTTTCCAGTCCTCCACAAGCCATGTTTGAAGTACCCTGTGGTCACAGGTAATGGATGGCAGCTGTGAGCGACGGCACGCAGCTCAGGTCGGTCCTTAACTCTAGTTTGTATTTGATTGCCGAGTATACTTCATGAAGGGCATCCGCCCAGCCACAGGGACCCCCATCCTCCTTCATGTGACCACCTTTTCTCTACTGAAAGACATTCCTCTCTATCAGGGAGCGTGATGGGGTCAGGGGAGGCTGTGGTGGGAGCCGCCGAGGTAACCGCTCGCCTCTTCTGTTGCCCGACAGGTCCATCTCCCCTTTGCGGTGGTTGGCAGCACCGAAGAAGTGAAGATTGGCAACAAGATGGCCAAGGCCAGGCAGTACCCCTGGGGTGTGGTGCAGGGTACGTCTTGTCACGTTAGGGACCCTCGTGTTAGTGCCCGTGATGAAGCAGCGATGGCCGCGTTCCTTCCCTCCCGGTGTCGTGTGGGGAGGTGGCCACGTGGTGCAGGTGGGAATGAGTGGGCTGTTTCGCCACCGTGGGTATGAGGAAGAAGGAAACAGTCGTCAGGCAGGGCAGATAGGCTGAGGAGCAGCTGCAAGCCCTGAGCCCGAGGCAGCCCCTCAAGATGTCGGGCTTCGTGGGGAGTTAGTAAAGACTCCCCAAAGAGGAAAATTCTTCTCAGGGAGTTCGAGCTGCTTGCACCAGCAAAGCGTCAGAAAGCTGGGAGAAAGTCTTCAAACAAGAGGCCTCTTGTCTCTTCCTCGTCGCCGGGGAAGGTTGTTTTCCAAAGAAGTGTTATTTCAGCAAATATCGGGTGATCGGGAATAGTGGTTTTTAAACACCGCCCTGCTGGGTCTGGACGGCGCAGAGGGGTAGTCACGGATCTGACTTTGGAGCCAGATGTTACCCCTGTTGGGCCCTTGCCTGGCACCCCAAACCTAGACCCCTACATCTGCAAAGTGAGTCACAGTCTGCATGGCAGAATGGCCGGGAAGGTAAAAGGACGGCTTTGTGAAGCCCCGCCCTTCCTCCCTCCCTCAGCGCCCTCCCCCCACCGTCGCGGTTCGGCTTCCTTAGGAATGGAGGGAGGAGCCGCCCGGGCATCCTCAGAGGGACGGTGACAGCCCCCCAGCCGGAGTGTCTCTCTGGTTGTCAGTGACCTCGCCACTGATGGCCTTGCCCTTTTTGCTGCTGTCTTGTAGTTGAGAATGAAAACCACTGTGACTTCGTGAAGCTGCGGGAGATGCTGATCCGCGTGAACATGGAGGACCTGCGGGAGCAGACCCACACGCGCCACTATGAGCTGTACCGGCGCTGTAAGCTGGAGGAGATGGGCTTCAAGGACACGGACCCCGACAGCAAGCCCTTCAGGTACGAGCCGCCCACGCAGCCCCACGCAGCCGCGGACAGGCGTCTCGGACAGTGGCCGGGCGGCGCGTGGGTGTGCACCGCAGAGAAAGGATTGTGGGATCGGAGGCTCTGGTACTGCAGCGGCTTGCTGGGGAGGGGTTAATGGGGCAGGTCATCGGGGGCCGCGGTACCCACTTTTATTATCTCTGCTGAGCGACGTGGGCGTTGTTGTTATTGCCGCCCGCATTAACAAGTGCTAGCGTCCAAAGCACCCAGAATGGATACAACCTGCCTAAAGTCCTTGCAGTTAGGGGAAGGGGGTTGTTCTGAATTCTCCGCTCTTGAGCCCAAGCTTTTCATTATGCTTGTGGGGTGTAGTGCCTGACCCACACCCCCACAGGTGCAGCTGCTGGCTAACGTTTGCCGAGTTCGTGTGGAGCAGATTCAACTTCCTAAGGCTCTTCTTAACTTTCAAGTACTCTTTTCAAAAAAAAAAAAAAAA